TAGTGGATTTAGGTTCAATCTATAGGTTTTGCGTAGTGAAACCTTGTAATGAGCATGCTATTATGTAAGTGCATAAGTAATATTTTATGTGCCTATAAACCCAGCAGTGCTATAGAAAGTGAGCTGAGTCATTTCCTGGTTTGGTGAAAACTGAGATGCTTCATAGAACACAGATTAGTCGCAAATGCAGGAAATTCAAATGTGTGTATCTTTGTTATTTTCTATATTTTTCCAAATTTAGTTAGGCACCGTGAATATAATATGTGGAGTAAATCATGATGTCTGAGCTTCCTTCTCTGATACACTTCAATCTCAGAACATCAAATATATCGCACAATCCATAATTAAATGATTCCCTGAAGACAATGAGGTAGCATCAGCTATACATAATCACATGTTCATTTCAATTAACTACAATGTTAACATGTTTAGCTGTTTGTGCATGTCAGATTATCCGAGCAAGGTATTAATAGCTATTTGTGAATCTGAGCAAGAAGGGTTAATAAAGGGTTAATGAATGATTGAAAGGGATGGTGTCATATGGGTTGTAGTTACCGAATATTACATTTTCCGCAAAAAAAATTAATTTCTATCTATGTTTAAATTGCACAACATTTTGATTAAGAGAAAGCTTTTGATTAGAAGACATTGATGTTGTGTAGGATCAATGAATACTTTGTATTTCACATTTATTGTCATAAAATTTCTAATTTGCGATAATGTGACCACTGTAAGTGGTGACTGAACAATCAATAAAGAGACAAGAATGCTCATTAAATTTATTGTTTTTGCTAGACCCCAGTGTAAACAGAATGTCCACAAAAAACAGCAAACTGTAAGTGTTTTTCACACAGAAAAATGTTAATTAATATCGTTAAAGGAACACTATAGTGTCAGAAACAGAAACATGTATTTCTGAAACTATAGTGGGGTAATCTAACTATTTAGAAAATGTCCCCCTTTCAATTAATGGGAAAGGTTTTTTAACTCACAATTTTCCCCACGCCACCCTGGTCTCGCCATGGCTGGCTCCGCCTACATGGTTGAGATCATCAAACTGGATGGTTCCAGCCAATCCAATACTTTCCTATAGGAAAGCATTAGGAGACCATTACTCATGTGCGCCAAAACACCGCCCTGCGCCAATAAGCCTTTCCTGATAGAGACGCATTGACTAAATGCATCTCAATGGGGATGGTTTAGCACCTCCATGGAGTGAATGGTTATTCTGAATGCCAGTGCTGCACACTGCACAGCATTGACAAAGGAAGAACCTCTAGTGGCAGTCTAGTGTAACTAGCCAGCAATGTAAGCACTGCCTTTTCTCTGATTACATTTGTGCTAGGATACTGGCAATATGCTCTTCATTGGAAATATGGATAAGAGAGGGTTTTTTTGTTTGTTTTTTTAAAAATGTCTAGAGGGTTTTCGAACAAAGGTTTGTGGACTTTCAGACATCCTGTGATACATTTATCAATGGACTATAGGACTTGTGAATTCCAGAGTCCAGAATTATAATTACCCTTCATCCCACTGGCCAGGGGTTACAGATGTGCCAGTACCTGGTACAGTGGAACCTTGGAACTCGAACAGTCCCTTACCCGAACAATTTGGTAGTTGATCAAAAATCTTTAGAAAAAAATGTCTCGGTACACGAACGATCCTCCGTACCCGAACAAATCATGCCAAAAACATGTTCATATAAAGCTATGTCTCACTTTAGACACATTTTAAATGCCAGAAGAACAGTTACCTATCCCCATCCAAACTTAATATAGCTTCTCCTTTCTTCTTACGCCATTAGCGCTTATCATTACAGGTAAAGTGAAGTTACATTTTCTTTTCATTTACTGTACATTGTGTTTATTATATATATATATATATATATGATTTTATGCATGTAAGGTATTATTAAACTGTAAAATTTGTGTTAAAATGCTGTAATTTTGGGGGTCTGGAATGGATTAATCAAATTTACATTAATTCTTATGGGAAATGTTGATTCGGTTCTGAGAGAAATCGGAACTCAAACAACCTTCTGGAATGGATTAAGTTCGAGTTCCGAGGTTCCACTGTACTACCTTTTCTACACCCCTCCCCAACCCATACACATGTTGAATTACCTGAGGGTGTTTGTTCTGGTCCTCCTGTTAATTTTGGGGACCAATGCTCCTCATGTCATCTTATTAGACCCTGTTGTGGGCATGTATTATATGTGTTGCTGAACCGAAGTTAGAGATCATTCAGGGGTCTATTTAAATATAGAGTTATGGTGATTTGAAAAAAACTGTTAAAAAAAATTAGGTTGTAAGGGGAATTATAAAAAACATCTTCAGCTAAACTAGTGCTTGGTTTTTATTACATTTTGCTGTTTTAGCTTCTGTTTAGAAAGATGATTCTCGATGCACCATAACTCACCTTTTGGTTAATAGACCGAAAAGTTGTAGCTTCCAATTTTTGGCGGTCTTAAAATAAATGTTTAAGCTTTCAAGAACCATGTATTATTCGTAGTCACAATTATTAGAGTGAAACGGTTTGGGTTAATAATCAACCATTCTCATTTAAAGCCAAGCTTGGAAGCTTTATGCAGAAATCATGAATGCAATTAAATAGCTGGCGTTCTGGCCAAAGTTAATGAATAGCTGGATCAGGGCTGTTAGTCAGTATGTAGTAAAAATCGAAGTCATCACCATTTAACATGGAACACAATTAATGTATCACACCAAATTACTATTATTATGGCATTGCAAACCACAAGCCATTTCAATTCAAGCTGTGAGGTTCTCCAGCTTTTACTCAAATTGTTCAGGTCAGTCTTGATATACAGAGCTACATGTAACGCTGTGTAATTTTATGACCCAGAGTAATAATTCTCTAATAAAGGGGTTCCACACTCTGGAATGTGGAGTACACAGCATAGGTGCTTTGTTGGCCCTTGTGATGATTTGCCTGCTATTAAATAAGTATCATTATCCTTGAACATAACACAGCATTGATGGAGAAAAATACATATAAGCATTGAAGTGTCAGGAGTTCTAACTTCTTACACATTGATACCTACATCCAAATCTTCTTACAGGAACACTATAGAGTCAGGAATACAAATGTGTATGAAAGAAAAAGAGAAAGTCCCTTATAAAAGGGACATATAGTGTGTCAAGGGAACTTCTAACAGGTGGTAACCCTTAACAATTGACGAACAAGAACCAATGTGATCCAAGCACATAAAGTCCGAGGAACACAATAACGCTCCCTGGGTTTTGCAAGTAAATATATATAATTAATTAAAATGTGTTTTTAATTAATGATATATATTTACTTGCAAGACCCAGGGAACTTTATTGTGTTCCTCGTACTTTATATCCTTGGATCACATTGGTGCTTGTTATACAAATGTGTATTCCTGACGCTCTAGTGTTAAAGATGCAGTTTAGGTCACCAGCCTCCCTTGGCACTCTTTAAAATGTATAAAATGTTCCTTTATTCAAGCGCCACACGGGTCTGCCGCGGTTGGCTCTGCCCATGCTCCGCCTCCATGGCTGAGATTATTAGAATTGATGATCTCAGCCAATCTATTGCTTTCCCATAGGAAAGCATTTGGAGGTTATTTCGCATGCGCAACAAATTGCCACACTACGGCAATCAGCAACTCCTAATAGATATGCATTGAAAAACCTGTAGGTACATGCTATACTCACCAGAAAACTACAATAAGCTGTAGTTGTTCTGGTAACTATAGTGTCATTTTAAGTTGGTTCTTGCTTATTTGCTAGTTTTGTCTAGTTATGTTGTTTTTGTTTCATTTATATTACAATAAGTCTCAAGAACACTGGCATCCAATAAATACTTTGGGAACGTATCCATAGATTCCTTGATCCTTCCTCATCTTAGTTCTTAGTGTGTAAGAAGTCCAATTTGATGCTGTCCCTACTGTATGGTATTATTTAATACTTACAACTAGTGATGTCCCGAACGGTTGGCAGAACGGTTCGCGAACGGTTCGCCACGAACGGTTCGCCACAGACTCATCATTGAGTAAACTTTGACCCTGTACCTCACAGTCAGCAGACACATTCCAGCCAATCAGCAGCAGACCCTCCCTCCCAGACCCTCCCACCTCCTGGACAGCATCCATTTTACATTCATTGTGAAGCTGCATTCTTAGTGAGCTCTCCAGGAGGTGGGAAGGTCTGGGAAGGAGGGTCTGCTGCTGATTGGCTGGAATGTGTCTGCTGACTGTGAGGTACAGGGTCAAAGTTTACTCAATGATGAGTCCGTGGCGAACCGTTCGGCGAACCGTTCGGGACATCACTACTTACAACCTGATTTGCTGTTACATTCCATGCCTTCTTGATTAAAATACTTCTTATCTTCTGCATGTCCAACTGAAAGAAAAGCTAATAAAAATGTTTAAAACTTAAACACGTGAATGTGTAAGTAGAGAAATCACCAAACATGTAAAGTACAGTTCAACTAAGGTAGGTATGCACATTTAACCCCTTAAGGACACATGACATGTGTGACATGTCATGATTCCCTTTTATTGCAGAAGTTTGGTCCTTAAGGGGTTAAAGTGAGTAAGTGGACATTTGAGATATTTGTGTATGTTGATCTTGTATAGATTAACCGTAAATTTTAAATTCCCATTCCATTAGTGTCTTATTATTATTATTATTTTATTATTTATATAGCGCCAGCAAATTCTGAAGCGTTGTTCAATGGGTGGACTAACAGCCATGGAATTGTAACCAGACAAATGGACACACAGGAACAGAGACAACTTACATGCAGTGGGGTATAGTGACACAAAAGGGTAATGAAATATGTTGCTAGAAAAGTAATCACTGAGAACTTAGTAGGTTATTTTTGACAGCTGCAGGAGAGGAGTCATGGGGGGGGGGGGGTTGAAGAATCTTAAATTGAGCCCTGTATCTAACTGGAAACCTGTAACGAGAATATACCCCAACACGCAGGATTCAGCTAAACATAAGACAACACAGAGGAGAGATACGTCTACCGGACCTTAGAATGGCCGGACTCGACGTATATGAGAGGAGGCAGAGTCAGGAACGATCCGAAGTCAAGGACACAGAGAGACAGCGTAAACTAGGACTAGCCGGGGTCTGGTACACAGTAAACAGGAAGCCGACAACCAGAACAGATAAGGATAAAGAGAAAACGTAGTCAGAAACAAAGCCAAAGTCAATACGGAGAAAACACAACTGAACACAACAAGCGCTAAAGGGAACTGAAACAGAAACCACGATAGGGCAGGGAGTAAAGGGAGAGGTAAGTTTAAATAGCTTCTAAACTAATGTGATTGGCTCCTGTCATATCCACACCCCCAAAAGGTAAGTGTATGAGGAGTGTGGCATGACAGGGGCCAATGGGAGCCTTTTAACAATTTAGGCTCCCACTGTCTCTTTAAGAGCGCGCCCGAGACTCGTGGCGCACTCTTAGATTCAGGCGGGACACGTGACCGCTTCTCACGGTCACTGCCCGCCTTCTTAGTGAAGCCGTCGGATGAGCCGCGCGCGGCTCGTGCAGCAGCAGGACCGCGCGCGGCTCGAAGAGAGGACCGCGGCCGGCCCCTGGATAAGGTAAGTAACGCTACAAAGCCAATGTAAGTACTGACAAAGGAGGGAGGCATGGGAGGTGCGGGCGGACAGGAAAATGAGCCTCACCACCGCATTCATTATACATTGCAATCTGGGAACACGCAAGATCACTGAGAACAGGATTGCATTAGTCAAGGCGAGAAAGAACAACGGCATGGACCAGCACCTTAGATACGTCTGGTGTTAAATAAAGGTGGATGCGAGCTATGTTTTTGAGATGGAAGTGGCAGGATTTGGTGATCAACATGACATGAGGGGTAAAGGAGAGGTCTGAGTAAAAAAAAAACACCTAGGCAGCGAGCCTGCGAGGTAGAGGTGATGGTGGTGCTGTTGACTTGGAGGGAGACATACACCTGAGGGAGAAAATACCAGGAGTTCTGTTTAAGGTTGAGTTTAAGGAAGTGAGCAGCCATCCAGCTGGAAATCGTGGAGAGGCAGTCAGAGACACAAGTCAAGATGGGTGGAGAGAGATCAGGAGAGGACAGGTAGATTTGCATGTCATCTGCATATACATAATAATGGAAGCCAAAGGAGCTGATGAGTTTACCAAGGGAGGCAGTATAGATAGAGAACAGTAGGGGACCAAGGACATAACATTTGGGAACGTCAACAGAGAGGTTGGGGAGAAGAGGCAGAGCCAGAGAAAGAAACACTGAAAAAGTGCTGGGAGAGGTAGGAGGAGCACCAGAAGAGAGCAGTATCCTGTAGACCAAGATTACAGAGAATGAGAAGAAGCTGTTGATGATCAACAGTGTCAAAGGCAGCAAAAAGATCAAGGAGAATTAGGATAGAGTAAAGGCTGTGAGATTTAGCAGCGATTAAATCGTTGGATACTTTGGTCACAGCTGTTTCAACAGAGTGACGAGCACGCAATCCAAATTGAAGCAGATCAAGCAGAGAGTTGGATTTGAGGAAGTCTGTTAATCTTGCATACACAACTCTCTCAAGGATCTTGGAGGCAAATGGCTGTAGCGATATAGGGCAGTAGTTGGATGGAGTCAAGGTTGGGCTTTTTCAGAATCGGCGTTATGGTTGCGTGCTTGAAGGGTGAAGGAAATGTACAGGAGGAAACGGTGCGGTTGAAAATTTAAGTGCGAGGAAGAGCAAGAGAGGGATGAGATACAAGGGAATAGTATCGAGGGAACAGGTGGTGGGGCAGGAGGACCTGAGCAGAGCAGAAATCTCTTCCATTGTAGTAGGTGCTAATGAGCATAGAACAGCGGAGGGAGTGGGGTTGGGTGATGTATTGAAAGGGGAGGGAGAGCAGTTAGAGATCTCTTCCCTGATTGTAGAAATCTTCTCAGTGAAGCGAGTGGCAAAGTTTGAGGTGGACAGAGTGGTAGGAGGAGGGGGAGCAACAGGGCGAAGGAGAGCATTCAAAGTGGGAAATAGTCATTTGGGTTCGTGGGAGAGTGTGGTTATGAGGGTATTGAAGTAATTTATTTTTGAAGAGGAAAGAGCCAGTGTGTAGGAGCGCTGCGTAAATTTATAGTGGAGGAAGTCAGGTGAAGAGTGAGACTTTCTCCAACAGCTTTCAGCAGTTCTTGAACATTTTTGGAGATATCGAGTCAGCTTGGTGTGCCAGGGTTGTAATTGGGAACGCTTGCTGCGTTTAAATGTCGGAGGTGCCATGATGTCTAGTTGAGAGGAGAGAGTGTTGTTGTAAAGTGAGGTGGCAGACTTAGGACAAATTAGATTTTTGAGATGGGTAAAAGGAGAGTTTGGAGTTTGGTGGAGAAATGCTGGAGATCAAGGCAGTGGAGGTTTCTGCGAGGGTGGTGAAATTTGGGTATTGGGTATGCTGATGTCAAAGGTTAGCAGATGGTGGTCAGATAAAGGAAATGGAACAGTGGAGAGATTGGAGGTGGTACATAGATTGTTGAAGATGAGGTCATGAGTATTTCCTGCTTTATGAGTTGCTGAAGTAGCCCACTGTATGAGGCCAAAGGAGAAGGTTACAGAGAGCAGACGGGAGGCATCAGGGCAGTTGAGGTTGTTGATTGGGATGTTAAAGTCCCCAAGTGAACTATAGCACATCAAACTAAATAAATAAATAAAATAATAGGCACAGTTAAATGTGGGTGCTCCAGAAATGGCATTTGTAAATGCCTGACTTTGCACAGGCAATGACATACAGAGAGTGACACCAACACTCAGTAGGAGAATGAGTCATGAGAGTGATCTAGATTGGGGCTACACCTTTGTGAATTTAGAAACTAAGTATTAAAAGGAATATTGGGAGATCAAATTCTACTTTAGGGTGTTGGTGAGTGCAGGGCTGGATTTCCCATTAGGCAGAGTATGCACCACATGTCCACTAGGGGGCAGCAGTTTTTAGCACTTATGATGAGCCTTTTGAGAACTTAGGTGGATTGGTGGGGAGTTACGTTCCTTTAAACCACCCTTTACCCTAAACACTTATAACATCTTTAATGAGATAGATAGCTAGCTAGCTAGATAGATAGATACTAGATGTTTTTATTCCTGCAATGTCCAGTAAAAAAAGGCATCTGCTTCTTTTTTGGGGAGGTGAGGTTCAGGGGATACATTACAATTCTGTGCCAACAGACACTTGACATGTAAATCTGGCCTTGAGTGAGTGGATTCTAAATCCTCTAACTAGACATTGGGTAGGTAGGTGTATAAATGCTTTGAAAGGTACCTACACCTACCCAACATACAATTCAGGCACACCATAAGTCATCTTAAAAGAAAATGTCTTGTGTATACATGGGTAATGGACAGCTAGTAACAGACATATTTGACAAGAATCATATCATCATTCCTATGTACAGCCAGTACCTTTCAGATCAAAGAAAATATGTTTCAGATAAGAATAAATTAGAACAAAGAATGACGTAAATTACTACTAAATGTTTGGAGTTAGGTTACAGATTTACTACACAGGGCAAACAGAATGCAATGCGGAAAAAAAAGCAGAACAAATTTTGTGAACTACAAAATAATAATAAAAATTAAAAAAAACTGATTATTATACTGGTTACATAATATAATAAATGCACTAACCAGGTATAGTTGAATAGTAACAGAAACTGGATTATTCTTAAAAACACATCCAGATATATTATATCCAAATTTAAATGTCTACATTTCTTCGGCAATAATAAGTAAAAGTAAGTAAAAATTTAAAAGGCCAGTTACTTTTATTTGATTGCCTATTCACAAATGGTCTGAATATCTTGGAATGCTAACTGTTAAAAAAGAACCTTAATCGATTTCACACATTTTTAAAATTAGTGGCTTTAAAGTTTTACGCACAATTCTGTAATGGTGCCATTGAAATGGTATCACACTACTCTGAATTTAAATGTATACTTTTTCCATTTTTCATTGTATACTTTTTCCATTTTTATTATACTGACTTGAGCCTTGCTTTCTATGGGTTTACACCAGTTAATTTAAAAAACTTTAGAATGTAGCAAATTAAATCTCAATGGTAAAATTGATTCTAAAGTAACAGATATGGCAAAATAATCCATATAGGTTTGCCATCTTTTAGGTATAAAAAAAAAAAAAACAGACCATGCTAATTAGCATAATACATTATATATGCATGAAATCACAGGACACAACATTACTTGATGTTACGTAACCGCTCAGGGAGTGACGTAGGAGAAAAAAAATAAACATTTGGAAGGGGAAAATTCCCTAACAATGTGTATACTGTGTCTGACTGTGCATGTAGCTTTGTGTATGTGTAACAGCATTTGTTTATACTGTTTGAATGAGTGTTAATATAGCAGTGTGTCATTGTATAAGTGTATGTGTAACAGTGTATGTTTATTATATGTGTGGGTGTGTGTTTACTGTGAGTGTGTGTGGGGCAGTGTATGTCACTGTGTGTCTACTGTGTCTGCTGGGTTTGTCAATGTTTGTACCTGCCATGTCCCGTCAGACAAAAATACTGGCCTTTGCATTGCTGGCACTTTTTAATACTGCCTCAACTAGTGACTGTGATGGTAAAATACCAGCCAGGTGATAACCCAAACTCCATCTCATCTATAGTCACAGCTCAGCAAGTTTAGTCTCTGTTTTGCAATTCAGATTGCATTCACCAGTAGTACAATTTTTCTTTGTTTAGTATAATTGATTCTTGTAGCCATTTATTCTATGACTACACTCTAATATTTATTTACAGGGTAATTTACAAAGTGAAAATTAAATATGAATTTCAAATTTAAAGTAAAAATTGCCAAACTGGAAACATTCTCCAAGTCCGCAATGCTTTCAGTTCAGTTCAGCCTTACACATGGAATTCACTTTGAATTCTAACTTTAGTAAATATCCCTGCTATTTTTTTATACTCAGGAAAAACATTGATATGTATCTTGTTTTTAAGTACGTCCTGGAAACTAACTTCGAGAATTCAAATCACTTTAATATGGTAATAATATTCTCTACAAGGTTGTGAATTTATCATTCCCCATTCTATGCCTACCTTCTTGTTCCAGATAATATCTCCATTTGAAAAAAAATAAAAAGCGTGTCTGTTGTACTTTGTTAAATATCTTATCTTCTTAGAATAATGTCTAACCCTTTTTACAAATTATACAGAAGAGATTTAATTAGTTCTTGATGTGTTCTATCATGCAGACCGTGTGCCACTTAGTAGAACATAGTTGAGTCCCTTACTCGCTATCAGTTCACTACATTTCCTGTCAAAAGATGTTCCAGAGAATGTTCCTTCCTTATTGGGACTAATTCCGCCTCAGTGGGAGCTGGGCCTGTGCTTC